AAAGATCAAGCAATTTAAAAGCATAACACTTAAAATATGGAAAAAAAAAAAGCAGTGGGCTATAACCATTTTATAGGATAGGAGGAGTAACAACAGAGACATACAACAAAAAATCAGCAGCACAAATTCAAAAACAAAACAAAACAAAAACCCCTGCATGAATAAATTAATCTCCTTGGTGCCAACCAGTGGCTGAGGGCAGAGAGGAAATTTCATAATTGGGGTTCTTAGGTTGCTATTTCAGTTATCCTGTCTGACTGGCTGTATTTGAGGAATGTTTGATTTGCCACTAATTTCTTTACCGATAAATCAACCCCAGATCTATGGAGAAATAAAAGGATGGTGAGAACAGTTGAAGCCAGAGTATGTAATTCCAGCTGGTAGAGTACTGAAGGTCATCTTTGTTGGTTTAGCTAATACAGTAGCTGCAGTATTTGAACCACTTGGGACTCCCAAGGTAGCGTTTTCAAGAATAAAGGCTGACTTCATTTTTTCTTTTCTCAAATCTTTCTTTTCTCAGATCCTATTTCCATAGAGGTCTATGTTTCTTGATAAGCAAATAGAAATGTCCCTTTCTGCTTACATAACACTTCAGTTAGTGTTCTCCTCAGCTCAATAAGATCTTTCAAGTTTTCTCTCTTATTCAGTTATACATGTAATTTAGATTACAAACCTCAACCTCTATCTTACAGCATCTTTGATCCATCTGTTTTCTTCCATATTGTAACTGTTATATAAAGAAATACTTTTGTAGGAAGGGGAAACAGCAATACAACTAATTCAGCTTTGGGCTGCACATCTTTCATGGAAGTTGGAGCAAGCAATTCTGTCCATCCATTGGCATTTTGTGTTGGTATGGAGGTATGGAGAGTGGATAGATATATGCAAACATCCAAGCTTCATCAGTGCTCTAGTTTTCTGTTTATAAATTTATTGCTAACCTTGTTGAACACATTCTTAGATGATATCCTAATTGTAATTTGAGAGAAGATAATCAAAAGACTTTACAGATGGCTTTTATGGATATACAGACATTTTCAAATGAATAATGAAAAAGTATTTAAAAGCAATCAAAGAAGAGATCTTTGATCAACTGAAGGTTGAATGTGACAATTCTCCAGACAATGTCTTGATTCATTCTTTCTTTTCACCCATCCTCACTATTCCTGTTTCTGTGTCTACCTCTCATGACAAGGATTGAATCTTGATTATTGTCTCACAGTGTGGATATTCTGCACGTAAAGGCATATTATTATTCAGTGATTATGTAAATCAGATACTCACAGCCAACCAGAATGAAGAGAAATGTGTGACAGTAGGCTGTATGATTCTCTATTCTTAATGGCAAATCACCCTTCATTATGATTAAATGAGACAATTCCATGTCAAGTTAATGCTTCTTATCTTTATTTGGGATTTGTTTATTTATTTCAGCTTCAAAACCTCTTACTCCAAGCAAAAATTTCACACTGGACTCATGTCAACAACTCATTTCAGCTCATCCACCTCATTACAATGAATATCCCAGCTGCCTCAGTCTTCCTTGTGTCATTCTACATTAGCATCTTAGAATTAGAAAACTAGAACCAGGCATTTCAGAATATTGAATCCCACTGGCTTAGTTAAAAACAAATGCAAAAAAAAATAAATCTGCACCAGTGCCAAAGGTACCAATTAGACTGAAAAGATTAGTATTTATAATGCAGTCAATTGTGTGAGAAGATCTGGACTGAGGCTACAACTGCTATGCTATGCTACTAAAATCTTGACAGCTGGTCATCTATGCAGGGTTGGCTAAACATAATGGCCTGAAATTCTGAAGGAATGTGACATGTAAAGATATATATATGATGTACAAATATTTACAGCTAGTAGCAGCAATTTTGCATGGATGATTTAGATGCCTGATTCCTCCATGCTGAAAAAAGAGAAGTAACAAATGAATCCAAATGAACACCAACAGCTAATGCTATTGATTATAACTGCAAGAGTTTTACATTATCAATCTGCCACTAATGAATAGTAAAAATCTTTACTAGCCTAACAGATTAGTACAAAGCATTGATCAGCTTGGAAATTATACGAGTTATACCAGTTACCAGTGCCATCATTTATGTTTGTATCAAAAGCTAATAAGGATTACAATAATAGCAGTTTTAATTAATTTGTGAAATATACAAACTGTTACCATACCATCCATATTTACCAGTGTGCTAGAAGACATTAAAATGGGGATAATTAGTTGCAAGCTTGAAAATGATATTTTACTACAATTCTTCAAGTAGGATATTACTGAACGGTCTTCATTAAACTTTTATACTGCTAAGCCCCCTGAAAATGCATGGTGACTGAACAACAGAAACCAAAATAAGTTTACTATATCATAAAACAAAGTATGATGATGTATTCCAAATCAACAGTGATTTTAAACATTTAAACCTTGTTTTAACAACTTTGTTTTGAACACATTCCCAAATATGGGGAAATGAGAATGCCATAGGGATCTCTGCGGGAAGGCTGTTCCAGAAGGTTGAGACCATTACTGAGAAGCACCAGTTTATTTGGAAGCTCTTGCCTCCAAATCTCCCATGTAGGGAATTTTCAGGATCACCCCATGAGATGTGTAGACTGGATGGGTAGGTTCTAAGCAAAGTCACAATCCTACAGGCACCCAAGCACCAAGCCATAGAGTGCTTTATAGGTGAAAAGCAACACTACTGGGGTTATATGTGAAAAGCAGCTTTTATCTGCCAACAAGTGGGCTGCTGCATTTTGCACCAACTGCTATCTGAATATTCTTCAAAGGCAGCCTCATGTAAAGCACATTGCAGTGATCTATTTGAGAGGTGACAAGGACATGAATTACTCTCACCAGGATCTCTTTGTCCAGAGAGGGCTGCAACTGGCACACCAGTAGTCAGCAAAGGCACTTCCAGCACAGCCTTCACCTGCCTATCTAGTTGTCATGCATCTCAGAGGACTTCCAAGTCGTAGACCTACTGCATCTACAGTCATCATTGGAGTAGACAGAAAGCCAGATGGTTTCTAGGCAAACAGCAGTTTAGTCTTGCTGGGATTCAACATCAGCCTGTTTGTCCCTATTCAGATCTTTACAGTGTCCAGGCCTTGGAGACTACGGTCAGGATTTCCACCATATTACCAGCTCACCCTGGGATAGAAATATCCATCTAGATATCATCAGTATGCTGCTGCTGATCTCTCCCAGGAGTTATTGTTGATCAACTCAGTTGGCAGAATGGTACAATAATAAATTGAATGAGAATTGTACTGGGTTTTGAAGAATTGCACATTATGCTATTAATAAATGAAATATACCCTTGAATTGAACTTAATTCCTACTAACTGTAAGGATATGCAGTATCTGTGCAATTTTCTTGGCAAACAACCGAGAAGTAGTTTGCCAATTCCTTCTTCTGGATTTTTTTTTTTTTTTCACTTCTCAGTCTAGTTCACAGCCCTGAATTTCCATGTTAAAAAAATGATCAAATAATTTTTCAGATTCAATATTATAAATGCCAAAATTCACAAGAGAATGCATCTCCCTGAAATTGGTATTCACGTAACAGAATACCTTGAGACTAGGGAGTCTCAGAACTAGGAATGGCTGCAAATATGGTGCTTTCTGCCTTCTATTGTCAGAAATGTATGGACCCTTTAATAACATGTACCAAAAAGTTCTGATCAACTTACAATTTAAAAGAATTTTAAAATAGGGCAGTTAGATTGCTAACTGGAACAGGCCAGCATGATCACATTATACGCCTGTCCTTTGCTAACTGCAGTGGCTACCATTCCATTTCTGAGTTCAGTACAAAGTAGTGGCATTACCCATTTCAGTTAGCTCGGGGAGAAGCTCTCTGAAAAAAAAATCTCCTCCTAAATATTTATGTAATCTAGAATGTATGTGCTCATCTGAGCCTGTTCTATGGGTGCCTCTGCCAAATTAAATGAAACGAGTCCAAAAGAGAAAGGATTGCCTCTGCCAAATTAAATGAAACGAGTCCAAAAGAGAAAGGATTGCCTCTGCCAAATTAAATGAAACGAGTCCAAAAGAGAAAGGATACTTCAGTGGGAGTGCCATGTTTATGGAGTTCCTTTCCTGCAAAGATTTATCTGGTGCCTACATTAAAAGTCTTTTCAACACCCAGAGAAAATCTTATCATTTTTCTAAGTATCTAATACAGTCATAGTGCTTTTAGAACTTCACATTATTTTATTGTGATGATGTTATAAATGCTGTATGTATTCTAACTGAAGTTGATGATTTATCCTAATTATTGTCCTTTATTTTTCATTATTGGGTTTATTCTGTATATCATGTTTTTTAACTTTTAACTTTTTTCCTAGAGAGCTGTAGTTATTATGTGGTTTAGAAGGAAAGTGAACAAGCAACAAAGTCAGTCCCAAGACATCCATAGATTAATTGTCTAGTCTTTTTCCCTGCTTTCAAGACGTTTCCTCGTGAATTTTATTAAAATAAGAGAAGTAAATGCTACATTATTGCTAACTATGATAATGTAATTTTTTGAACATTTTCTTGGTAACATGTATCAAAGCAAGATTAATTCCTTCCTCCTATATAATCTTGATTAAAAATAGTGTTCTTTCCTCTTGTAGCTTGCCCGGCAGGGATGTTCAAAGCTAACCAAGGAACAGGAGTCTGTACACAATGTCCTTCCAACAGTCGCTCCATGTCAGAAGCTGCTCCCATCTGCACTTGTCGCAATGGATACTATCGGGCTGACTTTGACCCATCAGAGGTAGCTTGTACTAGTAAGTACTAGCATTTATTTCTGACAACATGTAAGCTTCAAAACAAATTGGATCCATTCTTCTTAAATAAATCTGGAGAACCAACATTCAAGGATGGCCTGCATGATAATCATCATGATAATCATGTTTTGAAAATGATCTAGAAGTTCACTGAACTTCAAACAAGTGCAGGCACAGCACCTTCCTGCTATTTATTATATCAATCTGACTTTTTTCAGGCTTAGATTTAAAAGTCACATGAACTTTAATGAGACAATTCCTGAAATGAGCCACAACTATAGGTAATCCTCACTTAAAAACCACAATAGGGACTGGAAAATTGGTTGTTAAGTGGGGTGATTGTTAAGCAAGTCAACACATGACCAGACCTGATTTTACAACCATTTTTACAATGGTCATTAAGGAATAACTGTGGTCGTTAAGCAAGTCATGTGGTCATTAAGTGAATAATGGTTATTACAAGAATCCAGCTTCTCCAATGGACATTTTTTGCCAGAATTCACTTAACAACCATGTGATTCACTTAACAACCATGGTGCTTCACTTAATGACCACTGTAAAAAAGGTTGCAAATTGCAACGATGACTGTGAGTGGTGGTGTGATGGTTTGTGATGGTCATAAGTGTGAGTACAGATTGTAAAGCACTTTTTCCGAGACCATCATAACTTCGAACTGTTGTTAAACAAATGGTTGTTAAGCAAGGACTACCTGTATTTTTTTTCTCAGACTAGCATGGAAGCCTGAAAAGAGTCAGGCTGCTTTAATGAATAGCAGAGAATTACTTACATGATGTCCAAATCATTTTTGAAGGGTACATAGACATAAAAATAATCTTGTTAAAAAATATTTTAATGGACTGAAAATTGTTAATCTTTAGCTTTTAGATCAACACTTAGTTGATTACAAATATAGAAAGTCCCATTTAAGGAAAAAACCATTCTTTAACATGTACCAACAAGAAAAAGAATCTCATCAAAATTAGTATTTCCCAGCAGAACAACAATGACAGAAAAAAGAAAAGAAAACTCATCAACCATTTATTATAAGAACTGAGAATGAAGGCTCACAATTTAGGCTTGGATGATATTAACCATTAATGTTAATGACAGGCAGAAATAAGTATGTACAATAGAGGGATGAAAACTTTGAGTCTTCTAAATGACTACCATTCAGATTATTGGCATGTATGTTATATTAGACACAAAACAAAACCCAGAATGATTTTTCATCATTAGTGCTCATTTTCTTTTCATGTGAATTTATCAATCTTTTTTAACATTTGGGACATAAATACCACCTCTTCATAAGGGATATATTAGCAACTGTAATTGTAGCTTAGTCTATTGGCTCACCAAAGCTAGAAACTTAGATTCTCTGAAGTTTAACTTGAATACGTGTGCACTCAGAGCCTGCCAAAGAAATAGAATAGTCTGTAATATATATGAAATGAGCAGAAGACAATATTTGACAATCCCACATTAGGAGAAAGGGTGGCCTTGATAGCCTTGATTTTTCAGTCTTATGTTCAATCTGATTTCTACTATTATCTGTTATTTCAATTTACATTTCATTTATAACTTAATCTTGTTTTGGACAAATTTGGAATTAATTTGTGTGATTTATTATAGTACTATATTGCAGAGACATTTTGCAAATTGTTTTCCCCCGTTTGGAGACTGCTGGGCTCCCCTGCATCTCCAGGGGAAGAAGTTGATCTCCCACCTTTCTAACTTCCTTTGCAGTTTGCTTGCACAGAAGTCTGCATTAGCATACTACTTTCAGCATAATGCTTCTGTAGGTAATTGCATTACGGTTATGAGTTGCCTAATGTGTGTTTGGAATAAGAGATTAATTTCCATATACTGCCTGATCACTGGTAACAGGAAGTGTAGTAGTAAATAAATCTGTTTTTTATTGCCTCTTGTTATATAGCTGATTTACAGTGTGCCTTATCAGAGAAGTACTGTATATAAAAAAAAGTCAATTTGTTGGTTTTTATTTCTGCTCGTTAAGACCTAATTTTAAAATGTTTTAATTTGAGGTGCCAGCTGTTCTGTTCCCAAATTGTTACATGTCATAGGAGTAAATAAATTTAGTACTGAATGTTAGTGGGTGCTGCTGTGCACTTCCTTGCCAGTGCATTTCCTGCTTTATAGAGCTTTTCACTAGTCTTTTAAAGTTCTCCATTTAGTATACAGTTTTCATTAACTTCTATACATTTCACAAACTGTAAAAAGCAGGATAGAAATTATTGTAAGCCTAAGGTAGAGTGGATAGCCCATATATTGGCACTGATCTTGTGAAGTGTTCAGTGTGTTCATGGATCATATTTGTGTCCACCAGCAGGATTATGCTTGCTGCCCCACCCCACCCTATCCAACTTCCAGTTTCAAAGGAGAGAGACAGGTAATTTTTGGATAGCAAAGTTCTGCAGGTTTTGAAAAATGGGGTAATGATACTGCTGACATCTAGCAAATGGAGGAGGCCAACACTGGACAGATATTTTGGAGAATTGGTTGGAGAACATTGGTGTTCTCCTAGCATTCCAGTGTTCCTGTTCATCCCCAATTGGCATGAAATTGCCCCTCCTTTTCTGTATCATCAAAATTTAATGCTATGATTTCTGGATTGTCCAGGGATCACAAAAAGATTTGGGGAATCCATGTACCCTAAAGTCTGGGTTGCCTCCTATGTCACAGACAATGTATGCAAATCTCTGTACATATACAAAAGAGAAGATTTCTTTGAGTTGACCTTGAAAGCTGATGATTACCCAGGTATCTTCATGTAGCTTTCTTGGCAACAATGTGGAAATACTTTAGTATTGCCTTTTTTCAGGATTTTTAAAACTGTCCCAATCTGTAATTTCCTGGTTGTGTCATATGCAAGTGGTCACCTAGTCTGACAATACTTTCTCAGTTTCATCAAAAACTTTCAACCAAAATAGCTGAGTAGTTGGGTATTTCGCAAAAGATGGAAATACATGCCAATTTGTTTATAATCTGCCACACAAATTTAAAGTTAAATTTTATTATGTGATTTTAACCCAGCAAGGTTACAGTTTAGTAGAGTAGGGTGCCATCTATTAATTATCTTCATAATCAGTTCTTAATGACTTGTTGAAATGTATTTAAAGGGAATTTTCTGCCACAATGAGTTTCAATGAGATTCATCAAATTCAAAATCTAAATCATTTCAGACAGATGATACATTAAGATGTGTTACAGATAAAAAGATAAGTCAGTTTCACAGGCCAAACACTTTTGAAAAGCCCCTCTCATGTTCTACCATATGTGCGTCAAATACTGGTGGAAACCAAGAGAATGGCCTCTTCAAGAGATCTTGGGAGCACTAACCATGGATAAAAGACCCAGGAGAGCTGCGACATAGTAAACTGCTGCTTGTCCCTCTCCTAACCAACTGGTGTCTGAACCAAGATCATGTTCTTTATGTAGTATTTCTTTTCAAGGTCACATAGGTTTATCAGGATTGGAGCCAATAATCCTTCCTCCAGTCCTTTCATTTTGAAAAAAGAAAAAGGGATGTGCCATATAAGAATTAAAAACAGAGCTGGGTCAGTAAAAACATTACTGCAGAAAACTTCTGCACTTCCTTCCTGGCCCTGTGTCTGCAAGGCAGAAGGAGGAATTAATCACTGTCCAACCTTAACTGTCCTAGAAACCAGATCTGGATGCCCCATAAGTATGTAAAAAATTATAAGAGAAATCATGGAGTTGTATTGTTCTTAAGGCTCTTCATTTAATCACTATCTGAAATATCTATATCTATATCTATATCTATATCTATATCTATATCTATATCTATATCTATATC